ATCTCAATAAAGATCGAAACGTTGGCACGATAAAGAAAATGTTTTTCTGAAACCTACATCACACCAGACCGCATCTCACGATTTCTGAATAAACACTGACAAATTTTAAAAATTGTAATTATTCAAAAAAAATTTATTTTTAAAAAATTATTATTTTAAATTCTTTTTAGCATAGTTTATTATGTTTTAGTACTCCGTTTGACGGGAATGGAAACGTCTTGGCACACGCCTTTTATCCGAACGACGGTCTCGGAGGTGACATACATTTCGACGATGACGAGGATTGGACTATAAACCCTGGAGAGTTCGACGAAGGTAAGATAGTCGTGAATGGTCAAATTATATATATATTTTTTAAAATTAAATTATTCATTTGAGTTCAGGTGTTGATTTTTCTGCCGTGGCCCTCCACGAACTCGGCCATTCCCTCGGCCTGTCCCATTCTCCTGAACAAGGATCGATCATGAACCCATATTACAAGGCGAAAAAGGAGCTCGGCTACGACGACATACTCGCAATGCACGAGTTGTACAGTAAGTGGTATTTTTTAATTAAAATAATTTCCGAAAATCTCTTGGGAAATGGTTTACGACCGGAAAGGAATTCGGGGTGCCGGTCCCTACCGAATTTATAGCGTGATTTTACACACTGCGGTAGTAAAACGCGTCTTAAAACCCCTCTGAGGAATTCTGACCATGCGTGTGTGACCTTTCTGCAATCGATCATTTAAACCGTAAATTCTCACCGGCCAATGACAGCTCGCTAACCGTCAATCACGTTTAATTAAATTGATTTTCACAAATCAGTAACCCATCATGTGATCGGTGTACAAGACGATCCTAAAAATAAACCATGACCGTTTGCATTTCTAATTTCTTCTTTCTAAAAGTGCAATAGTATCATCGGATCGATAATGTTTAACGTTGACTCCCTATGACCCTAAATTTATTTCTCCCATTCCAGCTCATTCTTTGTTTATCTTTGGGTAGATGTAGATATAGTTTTAGGGTATAGTATACTGCGCCTTAAGAGCTATTGTATCCCCCGTGCTCTGCCTAAAGCACATCGGTGAGTCCTGTTTCATCAAGAAACTTGATTAATAGGCCCGGTTTCAGTGGTTGAAGCTCTTCTATGGTCACATTGTGCTTCCCAAAACATTTCCTCCTGCGGGCTAGTGTAGCTCCGCAGTTTGTTAGTAGATGTGTTGGTGTCTCTTCGGCCTCTGCAGAATCTGCATGTGCCATCTTGGATTGTTCCAATTTTCTTTAAGTGTCCATTTAACTTGCAGTGTCCTGTTAGATATCCTATTATGATACGCAGTTTGTTCCTGCTTCCCTTGACACATTCTGTAATTTCTTTCCTTCCAAAATTGGTTAAATGATTCTTGGATTATCTGTGTCCAATGAGTGAATTCCATAGTTCCCTCATTTTCTTTTTGTCTTTCTGGGATATTCGTTAATAGTGTGGGTTCCTATGCCACAGAAGGGTTCGGGTCTTATCAGCGGTGTAACAGCCCCTTTTCTTGCAAGGTTGTCCGCTTTCTCGTTGCCTTCCACTCCCATGTGTCCTAGGACCCAGCAGAGGCTGATTTTATTCTGCGTACCTAATATGGTTTTGCACTTTAGCACCATATTTGAGCTTAGTGCTTTGATGGCTGTTTGGGTATCTGACATGATAGCTATATTCTTGTTTTTGTACCCTTTACTTAGGTTGAGTTGGGTACATCTTTCGATTGCATGAATCTCAGCTTGGAAGATACTGGTGTATTTTCCCATGGGTTCCGAGTATTTGGTTCAAGGTGAAATACTCCTGCCCCTGTACCTTCTTGTGTTCTAGATCCATATGTGTACCAAAGGATGGTGCCATTCTTAAAAGAGGTGTTTCCCTCTCGTTCCCATTCTTTTTTGGTACCTAGGTTTATTCGAAAGTTTTGATTACATTCAAACATCCTGTTCATGTCGTCCCTCGGGGTCATGAGTATCGGATTGTCTTTCCATAGTTTGTTGTTATCTCTCCATTTTAGTTTTATTCCTGTAGTATCAGGCACTATCCTCTTTGGTAAAATTAATGATGGTTTTCTGCGCTGTACTTATTACCATGTGGTGTAGGGGGATTAATCCCAGAATTTTTTCCATGCTAATTGTATGACATGTTCTCATTGCTCCCGTTATGCAGATGCATGCAAGTCTCTGTATTTTTGTGAGTTCTTTTCTTTTAGTTACTTGTTCTGCTTTATCAGCCCAGGCTATTGCTCCGTATGTAAGTAAAGGTCTTACTATCATGGTGTACATCCACAGCAGGGTTTCCGTTCTGCATCCCCAGTTCCTTCCTGTTATTCTTCTGCACGCCATCAAAGCTCGCTTCGCCTTATCTTTGGGTAGCTGCTCCCTTGCACATTCCATTTTATTGTCAGGTTTCTTTCTATTACTACCTACCTCTTCATCTACCTTTTCTTTCGCACATTGTTTATTACTTATTTTTTCTCTCATTCTCTCTCTCTCTCACACACACACACACACACACACACACACACACACACACACACACACACACACACACACACATACCTGACCCACATCACTTATTAATATCTTTCAATATCGCTAATCGTAATTCTTTTATCTCTTCTTTTGCTCATTGTTCTTAATTCTCATCTATCCTATCTCCTATAGGCTATTGATGTTTCTATCTCTTCTCTATCAGTTTGATCTTTCTACCTTACCAGCTTACTCTCTGCCACTCTCGTTTTCCCAAATTCTTAATCACTCTCTCTCTCTCTCTCTCTCTCTCTTTCTCTCTCTTATTTTTCATTCACTTTTTTCATTATGTCACTTTCTCTCTTGCTTTCTTTCTCTGCGCCTCTCACATTCTTTCTCTCTCTCGGGTACTCCCCATTTTATACACTTATTCTTATATCCTCTTTCTTTGGGAGACCCATCGGAATCATAAGGGAAACAATATAAGACACTCGAAAATTCTACATTTACTGAGTAAGGTTAATAACCAACTAATAAGTGTTAGCGACAAAAAGGTTAAAACACCTTTGGGGAAAAAACACTTTCAGGTAGTTACTCCATGTGATTATAGCTATAATGCGGATGATGACCATAATAGCATAGATTGCTTCACGGATGGCTCACTCATTAAGGACAAGGGAAGCGGTGCTGGTATACATATACCCAAATTAGGAATCAGCATCTGCTCCCCTCTTGGTAATAACACCTCAGTCTTTCAGGCTGAGGTCTGGGCCATCAATGTTTGCTGCAGAACACTCATGGATAATAATACTAAGTGAAAAGATATTAGAATTTTTTCAGACAGTCAGGCCAGTCTTAAGTCATTACAAAAAGAGTTATCTACATCTAGGCTGGTAGAGGAAACCGTTGAACTTATCAATAGGATAACTACTATGGACGAGAATAGGGTAACCCTCATATGGATACCAGCTCATAAGGGGCACTATGGCAATGAAGAGGCGGACAGCCTGGCCAAAGAAGGCTCAAATACTGCGTTTGTCGGGTCACAACCGGTATTACCCCACTCTATAAGCACAGCGAAAGTGAGTATTTATTGCTGGGGCATGAAACAATTCCTTAAAGAATGGAGGACATAGGCAATCGAAGGAGATTCTGAAGGAAATCAGGAAAAGAAGCGAAATGGTTATTCTCTAACTCAAGGAGGGGAATTAGTAGGCTGATAGGTATCCTAACGGGCCATTACACCTTCAGAAGACACCTCTTCATAATGGGTATTCTAACAGACCCCTTTTGCCGCTTCTGTGAAATAAAAGAAAAAACGGCTCGACACTACCTCGCAGAATGTGATAGTTATGCTAGGGAAAGATTTGAAACTTTTGAAGGAGAGGACATTGCCAAATCACTCCACAAGATAAAATGGTCCAAAATCTTGGGGTTTGTGAACAACTCCAAGAGGTTTATGCAGGACACGTGAGCCGACCAAGTCTCGGACCTTTTAGGGATGGGGTACGGGCCTACTTAGGCTTTTAACCCCTCGGGTCCTGGTCGCCCGCCCTGCGTAATATATATCCTTTTTCTTTCTCTCAATACTTCTTTCTCTCTCTATTTCTGTCTATGTATATGTGACTCTTTCTCTCTATCTCTTCATTTCATTCATTCTTTTTTTATTTCTCGTTCACTATCATTCTCTCCACTTTTTTTTAACATATTCCATCCGATTACTCTTTCTAAATCCTTCTTCCTTTCACTTTCACTCTCTTTGTTCTTACCTCAAGGTAAGGGAATGAGCCTTACTTTCTATCCATTCTTGTTCCTGTTCTTCTCTCTCTCTCTCTCTCTCTCTCTCTCTCTCTCTTTCTCTGTATCTATCTCTCTATCTCTCGTACTTCCTTTCCTTACAAAAAAATTATATTCTTAATTATAACATTATAACATTTTAAGTATGTACTTTGGTTACCTGACTATAGAGCTTTATCATCTCACAAGCGACAACAGGAAATATAATAGTATTTTAAATATTTTTTTTTAGAAATCAAACGATGGTAACATGAGGTGGCTCGAGTACCCTGTCTCAGTTGCCTCCCTGACGACTCTCTCTTTCTCACTCTCACACACTCACTCTATCTCTCTCACTTTCTCCCTTCATGTATTCTCTGTTTGCTTAAAAACACTTTCTTTTTCAACAAAGAAGAGATTGACTATTGAAAAATTATTTACAAAATCCAATTGTAAACACAAGTGTGAGATTTTGTCGGGGTTCTATTTACCTCTAATCCTTTAAAATGGACAACATATTGTTAATGTATTACTGTATTGTACACGTTTCAAATAAATCATTGTTGAAAAGAAAAAAATGTTGGATGTAAACTTGCAAAATGAGAAAATCTATTGAATAAACAAATATAAAAAATTATTTATGTTGAGTTGTGTTATTTAAATAAAAGATGGAATTTTCAGTTTCCAGGAGGTTGGAAGAGGAAGGTGACAACAGTGACCATCAGGATGACGACGGGGCCACTCGGGAACCGGAAGTCCCAAACTTGCCCACCACTCCACGATACACTGAGCGGCCTCATTTCCCGGATCGTCCTCATGACCGGCCTCGTTATCCGCATTATCCCCGTTTTCCGCATTATCCGCACTACCACCATCCTTTTCACCACCACCACAGCCACCATGACCATCCAAGGCCTACGAGGCCGACAACGGAAGAAACAAGACCGACCTACGAATACACGACTGAGCCCACTAGAAAAACTACGAACTATTTTGAGGTAAATTTTAAGAAATAAATTTTTCTTTCCATTTTGCAGTTTTCAAAATTCAGGATTTTATCAGACCTATTGCGACTATCAATTTTCTCTAAAAAATTTGGCCTAGGATGCCTAAGGAATGTAAATTTGCGGTTTTTTTCCACATTGATACATAGTTAAGTAATAAGCTCCTTTCAAAAAGATTTGTTAAAATGATAATTGTACTATAATGAAACAGCGATATTAATTTCGTCCCTATCTAAAAAATATTTTAGCCTACTACTTGACTATGAGTATCAGCCATTATTTTCTGAACTTAGCTACAAATACACATACATACATACAATACATTGAAAATACATGCACAGCAATGAAAGAAAAAACATATTAAAAATACATTCACTAGTTTTCGTGGTCCGCTTGACCAATTAATATCATACAATTAATTAAGGTTTTTAGTTGTGGAGGGAAAATTCAAAAGGTGAGGTTGAGATGGGAAGTTGGTGTCCGAGCGGGTCGAGGTTACGATAGCTCAAGTGGTAGAGCAGCGGCGTATCAAGCCGAAGGTCGTGGGTTCGAATCCCGCTCGTGATACTGACTTTTTTATCTCAACTAAAAACCCTAATTAATTGTATAATAATAATAATTCTGGTCTTTCGTATTTTTTAATCTGCATCCATTTCAGCGTTTTGATCTGTCCTCTTCATTTATATGTATACTATGTCGACATGTTAAAATAATAAATTTATACCTCAGGTTGTCAACTACAGAATAAAGCAGATAATAAATTGGTGTATCCTAAAAAAACATCACCAGAATCATAGAATTCTTGTCATATTCACGCCACCAGAGAACTCGATATTCCTCGAGGCGTGGTTAAACAACCCCTTTCTTTCACGCTAATAAATGACATTCATTTCAATAAATTAGCATAAACACGAAACCCCATACAAACATAGAAGTCTGGCCACATTCTCCCTTCTGATATTCCTCTGATATCTTAAAAAATTAATTAAAATAAAATAAAAAATTCTAGACCAATTGTAATTCACTGATTAGCCCTAAATCATAAGTTTATCTACATATGTTTAAAGAAGGCTTACGGGTCAATGAACGGGTCAATATTGGCTTAATATTTATTATCAAATTATCTTGTGAACGAATAATCATTCAACGCCAAAAAAAAGTAAATAAGAGAAGGATTTGGTCCCAAAATTAAAAATAAAAGTTTTCAAGATGCATAAATGAAATTAGTATTTATATTTTATTATTAAAATATACAAATCGCTGGTTTATAAATTATAGTTTAGGAAGACTTGTAAACAGGTATTTGTTTGAAACGTAGTTGAGGAGAGTAATCAAAGTGCCTCATCACTTTCCTACTGTAAATTAAAAACTGATGGATTTTCGAATTTAAAAAAATCTTATAATTAATTCATCACGGATGGGTTTATCGTTGAGCCGGATTATCGTCCGGATCGGCAATGACCACTGAGACATCTCGTGATCTTTCCTTCGCCGATAGGCCGATATCGGCGTTAAATTGGCGAGGACGGCCTTTTTTTTCAATATGACCCCGACGATAAGTGAAGAAGCGTGTTATTGCAATATTACATGGGCGAGACTGTGATTATAGTCCAAACCAATGAGAAAAGTGTGCTCTTTCATTACGTGCGACTATCTTTCAGTTATTATACGATAAGCGCGTGCCGGGAGCCGACGACAGTGGCGTTTTGTCGCTGGATAATCTTTAATTCCTATTGAATATATTGTATGGGAGGAAAGTGCCATACTAGGTCGTCTTGTCTTTTATGTCTTTGAAAATCAATTAAAACTGGCTCGAACAACAAGCTCAAAAACCTAACTTCATGTCTTAACCACTAGTTATGCGAATCTATAAATTATTCTCTCGTTTTCTTTTTTCTCCTTTTATCACTCTCTCTCTCCCTCCTTCTCTCTCACTCACTCACTCTTTCTCTTTCTTTATCTTTCTCTCTCCCTACAGCCAAAATGATTCCGTTCTTAATTTGTCTGTACATAAAATACTATAATATACATAATATAAATCGAAAACAAATTAATTTAGAATAAGAGAAAAATGTATATCCATTATTTTTAATTGTTCAAAAATATGTCGTTGAATGTAAGAGTGGTCAGAATTTGACCAAATTATGCGACATTAAATAAAATTGCATTCGTCCATCTACCCAATTTCTTGCTTTCTCTCTTTTTATCTCTCTCTTTGTCTTTCTCTCTTCCCATCTCTTCTCTCTCTTTATCTATCTATCTATTTATCTATCTCCTACTCACGCTCTTTCTTTCTATTTCTTTCTTTTTGTCTCTTACTACAACCAAAATTATTCTTTACTTAATTTGTCCACATATAAAATTGTATTAAATTAAACAATCAGTTAACATTGGCCTTATATTACATATCAATTAAGTTTGATATATCAATTGTTTTTATGTCATACCAAATTATTATATTAACATATGTATTGTTTTCCTATCATATATCAATTAATCGTCTTAACTGACATTGCATAAATTCGAATTATATAAATGTAACACAATGGGGGGGGGCCCGCAACGGTTTAGGCGTTGACACGGCGCTCATCACTGTAAGGTAAAGGTCCCGGGTTCGAATCCAGCGGCCCTGCATTCCAAACCGACATACTTACAAATGGGCTTTTGTTTCAAAAACACCGGCACCCCGAGGGTTGATATAACCTCTCCTGTTGCGAACCCTCGTAAAAATAAAAAATGTAACACAAATTAATTTAGAAAAGAAACAGAAAAAATGAATATGTATTTTTTTTTTAATAAAAATATGTCGTTGAATGTAAGAGTGGCAAGATTTTACAATATTTTGAGACAATAAATAAAATTGCATTCAGTCATTCATTCACCCACTCTTCACTTCACTTTCTCGTTTTCTCTCTTTGTATCTCTCTCTTTCTTTTCCTATCACTTCTCCCTCTCTCTCTCTCTCTCTCCCTCTCTGTAATACACACCATCTTTCACTATCTCTCAATTATTGATTTTTTGGTTTGCCAGTTTCGGTTAGTTTGTGCATGTGGTTTATTTAGTTATTAACTTTATACCATTCTCCATTTTTACTCTTATTGTTATGCTATCCCTTATTACTTTACCCGTCTATCGCTTTTCGTTCTTTTCTCTCTGTGTACGTGTGTGTTTGTGTGCGTATTTTACACCTTAAGACAATTACAAAATTGTGAGGAAGAGGAGGAATAAAGGCTGATTGTAAGATATAAAAATATTATATTCATACTACATACATTCTACTATAAAGATATTATATTCATTCTACACATTATTTTACATATTGGTACAATCGTTATTTTATTTACAAGTGAATAACAACACAATACAATGCAATTTTGCTATTTCTTACTTATTGTTTAAATTAAAATTACAGTTATAAACAATGCAAGTGGGAAAAAACAGTTAGGAAGCGACTAATAATGGTACTAGAATTGTAGATTTGATAAACATATTTTTTATAAACTATAACGATTTTTTTTCATTTTTAACATTTTGACTTAGCATTTAGACAAAATGATAAAATTTTGAATTAGATATATTTTTGAAAAAAATAATTATTCAAAAATCGCGAGATGCGGTCTGGTGTGGCGTAGGTTTAGAAAAACGTTTTCTTTATCGTGCCAACGTTTCGATCTTTATTGAAATCATCTTCAGGGCCTGGGATTTACAAACATTGTTTACATTTAACAAATACATGTAGGATGTGGAAAAAAGTGAATTTATACAATGCAAAAATATATTTTTTACATTTTTTTCTTTTGTAAATCCCAGGCCCTGAAGATGATCTCAATAAAGATCGAAACGTTGGCACGATAAAGAAAATGTTTTTCTGAAACCTACATTACACTAGACCGCATCTCACGATTTCTGAATAATTATCGATTAACGGTCATTAATCACCACACAAATTTAAACAAAGTCAATAAATCTCAGGCACTGAAGATGTTCTCAATAAAGATCGAAACGCTAGCGCGATAAAGAAAATGTTTTTCTGAATCTACATTACACCAGACCGCATCTCACGATTTCTGAATAATTATTGATTAACGTCACTAATCAACAAATATGAAAAAATGTTGAATTTTAAATGGGTTTATGTCTTTTTTAGTGATGTCATGATAAAAATCCATTAGCTCCAATACGATTTTGAGATGTGATTTTAGCCAAGAATAAAACAATCTAAAAAGTCTATTAGAATACATTTAATAAAATAGAATAATACTTACATAATGCATAAAGATAATTTCTGACCTTTACAATAAAAACCAATTGGTATCTCCCACCGCAGTCTTTTTTTTTTCACCATCCCTAACCATATTAGCCATAGTACGAATTCTTGTGTGTTCAAATTGGGGGTTATCGGGAAAAAAGGGCCAGAGCCGACGGTGGGAATCGAACCCACGACCGCGGCGTGAGAGTCTCTCATGCTAACCACTCGGCTACCGCGGTCCCGAGTTGTTTTAGAAGGCAAGTGAAAATAAAACTGAGGATTAGTCGTATGCTGAAATTTCAGCTTAATCATGTAGTAACTTTATTAATGCTGTTAATAATCCAAAATGTATGCGTGTATTATTTGGAAAATTTTAAGTACACACATCACTAGCCATAAATCCATGGATCCTAGCACATTTAGTCGTATGTCCCGTGTGCCTGTCTGTATTTAATCTTCATCTCACGATCTTTCGAATATCAATTTGAATCTTAAAGTAATAAAGTAAATACGTAGGTGAAACTCTGACAAGGACAAACTAAATTATTTGAGGATATGAAAAAAATAAAATAAAATATTTTACTCGAACAAGAAAAATTAGTCGATCTTGGCCAATCGATCTTTATTACCATCTTGACAAATTTCGTACAGAATTGTCTAAATATTGAATTATTGTCATAAAGACTTGTTTAATTGTTTGAGGCTTACATTATTAAATTTAATCATTTTACTGATTTAAATTTTTAAATTACACTGTGAATTTCATTCCGTAAAAATATTGGACGGATGGGTCAATGGGTCGACGAATGGGACTGCACTTAATTTATGTCCAAGTAAATTTGTGTCTTGTGTGTTTGTGTGTATGTCTGCGTGCGTAATAATACTTTCTCACTGGTCCAAAACTTAGATGATAATTGTTATAATGGTCATTTAGACGTACAACTATGAAAAGTCGTCTGACTGCTTTGAAGTTTACAGAAGAAGATCAAAACTAGTAGAAACCCAGAGTGAAAAGACACAATTTATGAAATTTTATTTACCACATGGTTTTTAAATTTAGTATGAGTCTATTTGATTATTTATGTCCGGGGTAAGGTCCTAATTATAAATCAAATGCAATGTTAGACTGCTTTATTATTTTAGTCTAGTGTAACTTACTAATAATAAATTTAATTTAATTTCAATTAATTAAGGTTTTTAGTTGATATAAAAAAGTTGGTGACACGAGCGGGATCGAGGTCACGATAGCTCAAGTGGTAGAGCGTGGCGTATCTAGCCGAAGATCGTGGGTTCGAATCCCGCTCGTGCCATTGACTTTTTTATCTCAACTAAAAACCTTAATTAATTGAAATATATTAATTTGTCAAGAGGACCATGAAACTAGTGAATTTAATAAGTTTAAAGGATGTATACTTTCACTAAAGCTCTCCGTGGCCATTTCATTTGTCGCCGAGAATCCAATCCGATTACACGACATTTGAAAAATGGCAAAAAGGAGGGAAAATTCAAAAGGTGAGGTTGAGATGGGAAGTTATGTCCGAGTGGATCGAGGTCACGATAGCTCAAGTGATAGAGCAGCGGCTTATCTAACCGACGATCGAGGGTTCGAATCCCGCTCGTGACACTGACATTTTTATTTCACTTAAAAACCTTAATTAATTGAAATATATTGATTGGTCAACTGGACCACGAAACTAGGAAATTAAATTTAATGTTAGACTGGTTGATTATTTCGGTCTAGGGTAAGTTACTAATTATAAATTAAATTTAGTATTAAACTGCTTGATTGTTTTGGTCTTGTGTAACTTACTAATTATAAATTAAATTTAATATTAGACTGCCTGATTATTTTGGTCTAGTGTAAGTTACTAATTAAAAATGAAATTTAATATTAAACTTCTAGTGTAAGTTACTAATTATAAATTAAATTTAATATTAAACTGCTTGATTATTTTGGTCTAATGTAAGTTACTAATTGTAAATTAAATTTAGTATGAAACTGCTTGATTATTTTGGTCTAATGTAAGTTACTAATTATAAATTAAATTTAATATTAAACCTCTAGTGTAAGTTACTAATTATAAATTAAATTTACTATTAAATTGCTTGATTGTTTTGGTCTAGTGTAAGTTCCTAATTAAAAATTAAATTTAATATTAAACTTCTAGTGTAAGTTACTAATTATGAATTAAATTTAATATCAGACTGCTTGATTATTTTGGTCTAGTGTAAGTTGCTAATTATAAATTAAATTTAATATTAAACTGCCTAATTATTTTGGTCTAATATAACTTACTAATTATAAATTAAATTTAGTATTAATCTGCCTGATCATTAGTAACTTACTAAATAACTATAAATGTTGGATGTATGGTTCAAACGACTAAGCCTACTTACATTTTCATCAAGCAGTCTGAGTGTTTTAATGTGTATGTTTGTGTGTTCGGTCTTGTGTTGTATCTCCTCGGTAAAGTTGAACGGCACAAACACTTGTTTTCCCCAAAGTTTGTTTACATCAAAGAACAATTACCCGGATCTAACGCATCGTCGGCCTCAATTATCCGATTATACGTCTCGGGGAAAAAACACCGTCCGACGTGAGACGCACCTGGGAAAAAACACGGCTGACGCAGTGGACAATTTGCGAGCTCGCGGTACCCGATGAACGAGAGGACAAAGGAAGAATGTGGGGGATCGCGGCCCCCTCCAGGAGACGGCTATATAAGCCTGGAGGCCGCATGGCACTGCACAGTCCGACTCAGTTCGTCAGTGACACATAATCTACAACTATATCAAAATGTTCCCGAATCCGTTCGACAGGAAGCACTCCACCATCCGCCAAGTGATCGATAAAATCCTCAGGCCGGAATCGAACAACCACCAACGGAGAAGCTCCGTCTTCTCCTCTGGAGGCTTCAGGTCCAAAGTCATCAAAGCTTGACTTACGAAGATACTCGACATCGTCGTTTTTATTATTATTATAATGGTGAGTATCGACTCGTGGTGACACTTGTGCTTCTCCTTAGTGATTTTCCTTACTCTGAAACTAATAGTGAATTTTGTTCCTTTTCTGTGCAGTTGTGGTAAATAACCAAAGAAACACGAGGAGCAAAGAGAGAAAGACTGGGCTTGTATTCTATTAGCCGGTGAGTACTTTTCTTTAATCAACATTATCACACAAATAACAACAAACAAACATATAAAATATTTTCTTGATAAATAAACACAAATAAAACAAAAATATAATAAACATACTGACTTTTATCACGTTTTCTGAGAGTTGTGACGAAATAAACTTGTCAAACGATTATTTTGATAAAAAATCATATTTAAATCAATCTCTTAATCACATCATCACACGTCTAAGGACAATCTTCAGAGGACTAATTTTCCGAATTTTTCTTTTTTTGCAGACTGACCCGACAAAACGTGTCGCCAGGCCGATCTAGGCTGACTGCAGTATTTTGTCCGAAAACATCTTAGCTACGAGATGAAGGACAACCCCGAAACTAGTTTCTAGACGACTATTTATTTGTTTTTATACGTTATATTTATTTAATAAAAAAAATATCGATTTATATTGTTTTGATTTTTTTCTCCTCCTGCACCATCAGTTTTTAAGCCAAATTGGCAAAAGTCAAAATTGCAAAATTATAACAACAAAAAACAATCCAAACGATTTTAATCGCATAATCTCTAAACAGAACTGCGCCAATCCTATTACCATAAGTGGAGGAAAAGAGTAGAACGAACAGGAAAAAACAGATTGTTGAAAATTTCGACTTTGCGTCAGGCAATACCTTGAACTTGAATTGTTTTGAGTCGTTGCGCTTACAAGACCGGCGAAACGTAATCACCTTTGGCTATTTTCGAATTTGAAAAAAAAATGGGTCAGCAATGGCAATTGCTATGACGTTATCTTAAAAATATAGGTCTCACCTTGTGTCTGTTTTTGGTTTTATTTTTGTTTATTATATACGATAAAAGTTAGTTATGACACCTTAGCGGAATGCAATAAAAAACATAAAAAATATATTCATAACTATAAGAGAACTTATTTATCCAAAGGGTCATTCGCCTGTAAACAAGAAGTGTTAAAAAGAAAACAAATCTGTTTAATAATTAAGGACTGTTTTTATTGGAGTAAAACAAATACAAAACAATTGATAAGTTGTGCTTTCATCTCCAGTGTTGCAAATTAATCTGGACAACCGTATATTTACAAGAAGATCGGTTCATTCGGGTGGTTGACTTAATAACAATGATTCACAACTTCATTCATTATTGGTGATGCGGTAAAATTTGATATTTTTGAACCGGGACGTGCCTTGTAACCCTAGGAACTATTTCCTGATATAGGGATTTCAGATTAGTACATATGCCAAAAAAACTCACAGAGAGAGAGAGAGAGAGAGAGAGAGAGAGAGAGAGATTGATATCGCCTTATTTACATAATCTCTCAAGATTTGGTCTCGAGGACCACTCTTACATCTAGAAATAGAGAAAGAGAGAGAAAGAAAGAGAGAGAGAGAGGAGACATGCAGACACACACTAACAGCATCATAACATTATAGGTAGATAGGTTGATAAATAAAAAATAGATAGGTAGATAGATAAAGAGGGAGAAGGAGAGAGAGAGAGCGAAAGGATATGAAATAGCTGAGCACAGAGAAAATAATTACAGAAACAGAAAGATAAAAGTAGGGAAGAATGACAGATAGATAGGAGAAATAGAATATAAGATTTAGATGGCTAGAAATAAGTAAATAAATAGATAAAAGGAGGAGAGAAAGAGAGATAGAGAGAGAGAGAGAAACAAACAGAAAGCAGATATAGAGGTTGAAATAGTTTTTATAGGCAGATATCTAAGAGGGAGTGTGAGAACTGTGAAGGCAGAGAGAGAGAGCGATAGGGAAGAAGAAAAATAAGAGGAGAGAGAGAGAGAGTGTGAGAAGCAAATAAAGAGGTTTATATAGTCGATATAGGGAGATATCTAATAAAGGGGAACTGTTAGTGAGAGAAGTGTAAATAGAGCGAGAGAGAGAGAGAGAGAGAGAGTTAGTGTGTGTGTGTGTGTGTGTGTGTGTGTGTGTGTGTGTGTGTGTGTGTGTGTGTGTGTGTGTGTGAGAGAGAGAGAGAGAAAGAGAGAGAGAGGAGCAGATAGAGAGGTTCATATAGTTGATATGGGCAGTAAAGAGTGTGAGAATAAGAAAGCGAGAGAGAGAGAGAGAGAGAGAGAGAGAGAGAGAGAGAAATAGACAGACATAGGGAGAGTAAGAGAAAGAGAAAGAGAGAGAAATAGATAGACAGAGGGAGAGAGAGAGAAATAGGGGGGAGAGAGAGAGAGAGAGAGAGAGAGAGAGAGAGAGAGAGAGTGAGTGAGTGATAGAATGTGAGATATAATGAAACATGTAAAGACAAGAAGTGAAAAGTAAAGCCCTTAATAAAGTAGAGAAAATATATAAATAAATGGATCGATAGTAGAAACAGTAAAGAGTGTGAGAATAAGATCGAGAGAGAGAGAGAGAGAAATAGACATACAGAGAGAGGGGGGAGAGAGAGTGAGAGAGAAACAGACAAACAGAGAAAGAGAAAGAATGTGAAACAAGGAAAAGAGATATAAAATGAATAATGTACTAAGAAAGAAAGGGAGAGGAAAGATATGACAATCAAGACATAGGCAGACGAATTTGTCTAGGAAAAGGTTGAGATAGGACAGATTGATAGATAAAAATTCTAAGGTGAGTTAAATGGAAAACGAAAACGTATAAAGGAACATAAACGGAATTAAAGAGAGGTAGGAAAGGCAATATGTATCAGAGTGCCTTGATAGACGGGAAATTTGGAAAGACGAATCTGAATAGAGAACGGTCGTGAGAGAGAGAGATAGACAAAAAGGGTCTCTGATCTTTCAGGGAGAGATAAATGTAATTATGCGGACTGGAACAACACAAAACGTGTATTTTATCGCCAAATTAAAACCATATGTGAATGTTTTAGTGTTTTTTTTACAGTAAACTCTAAAGCCGTTTGATAATTTTTGGGTCCGTCTATTCTCGCTTTGTGTCTCTTAGATTTAATCCCTAGGCTCCAAAGCAGTCAGGCGATTTTATATAGTTTTTACATTTATCCGTCTAATTGACCATTATTCGTAACTGGTTAAAATTTAAATTTAGACCGAAGATTTGCATTAAGGCCATTTTGTGATAATTAACCCAAAACTAATAAATCTTAGTTTTTAAATTTTTGCGACAAAATTAAGCCCTATTTAAACTTTAATCAAAGATCATATTGTCACAGAAAATATAGCTTTTTTTTCTCATTGTCTCGATCCTTGCGAATATCTTTCTAATTCTTATCTTTTAAGATGATTCGGGATAATTTAGGTCAAGATCGAGTGGAAATGGTGCACAACGTGAAGGCTAATGACAACCATCCATCCATGTGATAATAGACCTATTTTCGATTTTTAATAATACTGTCCAATTCCTGTATTTTTATATCTGACGAAAACAATTTTGATATGGGAATCGAGAATACAGGACAAGAACAAATATTTGCCTGTTGTTTTCCAGGACGAAAATAAATCGGTCAATATTTTGATTTATCCTTCATTTGACAAATATCTTTGTTCGTTCGTTTTATAAAAACAATATTTATATTTAATTTTAAACTCCGGATACGATAAAGATATCCAATTACTAAAACCTTAACCCCTACGATCGTGTCAATTTCTTCGGACCGAAATAAAACTAGAATTTTATTTATATTTTAATTAGTCAGTCTACATAATCAACTTAACTAATTAAATAATAAAGTGTAAATCAGGCTAAAATAAATTTATTCTTTATATCAAGGAGTCATACTTTACTGGTAGAGAGGAAAAAATTGCTTTACTAAAACTTGGTTGTGTTATCCCATCATATTCAACAAACAGCATAAAAAATAAATAAATTTTATTTTTATTTTAGTTAGTCAGTCTACTTAATCAACTGAACTAATTAAATAATAAAGTGTAAATCAGGCTAAAATAAATTTATTCTTTATATTAAGGAAGCATACGTTATTGGTAGAGAGGAAAAATTTGCTTTACTAAAACTTCGGTGTGTTATCCCATCATATTTAACAAACAGCATAAAAAATAAATAAATTGTATTTATATTTTAGTTAGTCAGTCTAGTTAATCAACTTAACTAATTAAATAATAAAGTGTAAATCAGACTAAAATAAATTTATTCTTTATATCAAGGAGGCATACTTTTTTTTTAGAGAGGAAAAATTGCTTTACTAAAACTTGGGTGTGTTTTGTTGTTTTGTTAACAAACAGCATAAAAAATAAATAAATTTTATTTATATTTTACTTAGGAAGTCTACTTAATCAATATAACCAATTAAATAATAAAGTGTAAATCAGGCATAAATAATAATAACGGCTCCAAACACTGGGACAATAGGTCCAATTTTGGGTCATCGCCTCAATCGCCTATAGCCTATTATTTACTCTGATGGATATCGAGGAAATTGCTGCTGCAGCTCTTTGACTAGGGTGTATAATTGCTATTTAGTATAGTGAGACGCTTCCAAAGCCAGTGATCTCTAACAACAACTCCAACTTGTCCAATATGGGCCACTGAAGGTCATGCTCCTGCTATACAGTTTGGGCCGTTGTGAAGAGGGGCCAAAACACATCAAAGATGGCCAATATGCTTGACCAAAGTGCACAGTAGGTTTGTTGTTTTAACCAAGTTTCTGTGAATAACATAAGGAACCGGACAAGTAAGCAACTATAAGATCATTGACGCTATGCTGGCCCAGTCTTGGGGCAAGGGTTGGACGGCCAAGTGTGTGGAGTCAAGCCCATGGCCAGCGTGGCATGGTGCTCATCTTAGTGAGTAATGCATTGGTCTGTCATGATCCATAGCGATGAGGAGCCATATTACAACGGTAGGACGCTATTTCAGATAGTGCTCCGTTAAATCTGCTCATGCACACTTCAATCAATTTCAATTCAACATTCTTATGGCGAGTATTTAGTGACTGTTAATTAATGATTATTTAGGAGGACGATGAGTGTGGATGGACTGGAAAACAAAGCAAGCTACGAAATACTGTGCACGGAAGGAGGGGTAGAGCCAGGAAGTTGGAAATACAACCCCGACACCCGGGACCAGTTTGGGAAATGTGAGGCTGCCAGGTTTTGGTCAAAGACTACTAGGTTTTTAACCGAGGAGCAGAAGGGAATGGGATGGTTATTTAACATGAGAGATCGGAAGGAAATTGAGGAGTTGCCTGGGCCCAATAATTATGGCGGTGGATTTAGACGGATTGAGGCCTAGGGAATTTAGGTCATTTTGGATCTTGAGAATGGCCGAGTGAAGACCGGAAGGGTGGAAAGATATTTGGGAGTCATCGGCATATAGGTGGTAGTTACAGGACTGGATGGAGCCGGGCAGGTCGTTAATATAAATGGAAAAAAGGAAAGGAGAGATGCCAGAGCATTGCGGCACCCCTGATTTTAATGCGAGGAAGTAGGAAGGCCATTGGGAACAGAGATAGCTTGATGGCGATTGGTAAGGTA